TATCGGTCAATGCGATTTTCTGGACTTTAACACCCGTACGTATCGTCACATTGGCCCTCTGGCTAGCAGGAGCGCCATACGCCGAATTGGCATAACTTCGAGTCTTATTTTCAGGGTCGACCGTAGTCGTGTTGCTATAGCCACCGATGGAATTACCTGAGAACGGGTCTAGATTGCCACCGGCGGAGGCCACGTTGTTAGTCCTGGCAACAAGTACAAAACGAGAACCCATTGTACATGATCATTTTCAATGCATGTGGTTTGGGGCTTGATATGGTCTACTTGCCGGCATTTGTGACCATGTTCATTCCACGAAAGGCATCAATCCATGCTTTGCACAAAGGGTTTTGTACGACCCCAGGAAACGAAACCCTGATTGGACCTGATGAACCACTGTGTTTGTCGTCAATCCAGTCGATGCCAAGATGCTCGACTGTGGCCTTGTCCGCTGGCGGAAGAAGCGTGTGTGACTTCTTGAATGAAGGCACCAACCCGTTCCAGTCCCACCCGGGGTTTCCGAGCTTAGCCCAACCATCGACTTCAGCTTGGCCGGGAGTGATAAAGGCTTGGCCGTTGATAGCTGAGGAGCCACCGAGGGCTCTGCCCTGAGGTAGGCGAATGGACCGGCCACCTAATGTTGGCTGAGACAAAGTCTTGAGTTGCCAGTCGGCATCGGAACCCAACAGAGCAGTCCAGAAGGCCGGGATGTTCACCCGAGGATCAGCAGAAAGATCCTCACCAGCTTCAAGTACTAATACGCGAACATTCGGGTCTTCAGATAAACGATTAGCAACAACGAGGCCAGAAGTGCCCCCGCCAACAATGATGTAATCGGCCGAGGTTAGAGAAGCCATTCTCAGAGACTAGAGAACTGTTTGAAATAGGATCCGCGGCAATTTAAAAGCTGAGAATAAAGACAGTTGTATAAAGGCTTGCGAGGATATTTGGGAGAGAAAAATGATAGAAGAAAGAAATGGCGAGGCAAAGAGGTATGTATAATGACGGAGTAGAATGACGAACCAACGGATCCTACGGTCTACATGGGGCCATATAAGCCCTAAGTTAGTCCGAAGCTCTAAGGAGTAGGATTTCTCCATTGCTAAATTAGATAGCTTCCTTTCTAACATGTCACACCCGAATATAGATTTTAGCTTCTTTATACTTCCGGAGCTACGGTAATGCTGATGGATATCAAGCATTGGTAGCGCTGGGCGCTTTCATCCAGTACAATGGGGCTGAAAGGTGAAAGTGCACCGCAGCCGGTACGGAGTCCAAGCCGGCACCCGTTCGGACGAATACATTACCCTGTGCACTTGGACGTCACACACTTCGCATCTTGTCATGGACACGACAACTAGGCTATCAAAATGATATATCAACCCCTATTGTTCGCCATGTGAGGCGCAAAATTCCCTACTCTTATCGTGATAAAGCGTTTATCTCAGCATGGCAACCGAATGTCTCATCGGGTCAGCGTACGGCATCGCTTCCGCCGTTGTTGCTTTCAGAAGGACCGAGGTGGCACCTCTTCATTTCCGGCAACGCTGTTCCCCGTTTGATCTGTGTAACGGTATCTAGTCCAATTCAATCTGGTCTGAGGCAAACGGATTCGTTTGTGCACATACCATGAACCATACAGCGGGCAAGATACGAACCAGACGGTTATCGGTGCTACATTGAACAACATCTCATGGGGCTCTATTCGGCACCGTTCCTATGGGTAGCAGAGGGTGGTCTGTCTCACAGTCACTTTACTTGGTGCCACGGTTTTTTTCCAACAAATTTGCACTCTGCTGGCGGAGAGTGTATAAAGGAAATCATCCCTATCCCGCGGGCTCTCGTCAGGATCTTTCCCTTTACCTGCCGCGGTAGAAACTTTGAACTTTCTTCATTCTTCGTCACTCGTTGTATCCATAGTCACTCGCTTCCAATATGATTGTCCCCAACAAGGTGGTGGCCGTTGTTGGCCTCAGTGTCTCTTCAGTCCTCGCGAGGGCTCAGCAGGGATATGGATACGGGGACGAGACTGACAGCCTCGAGGCCTTTTCGACTGAACCAGTTACAGAAACGATAATCCCCTCCGGCATCATTCCAGTTACGCTCACGGACTCGATCACCGTGACTGAGCCTGTCACTGTCACCATCACCCAGACGGTAACCCTGTCCGAGCCGGGCTGCACCTCACAGAAGACAACAACTATTGATGGCACTCTAAGTACTACCATCACGACCATGAGCACTATAGTCATCTCGCTTCCCCCGTTGGTCACGCCCTCCACTGAGACAGCTGAAAGCGCCCTTAGTACTACTATCACTGCTACGAACACCATAGTCATCTCGCTGCCCCCGTTGAGCACAATCTCCACTGAGACAGCTGATGGCACCGGAATTCCCGAGACTGAAAGCATCTCGAGTATCACGAGTGGCGGCTATGCTCCCTCAACGCCTAGTGGCAGCCCTGCTTCCTCACCGACCGGCGGTGTTGACACGAGCAGTATTTCAACGCCGTGCGAGTCTGTTATGTGTAAGTCGTAGTCCCGCCTAATCAGCAGAGCTCACATGGAAACACCCTCTTCTAACCTTACGTCTCTAGTTACCACCGACATGGACGGCGCTTCAGGTGACTTGCCATTCACGACCTTCGGCTCGATCACTATCTCTATCAACCCTATCTCGGAACCAGGAACCACAGTAGAAGTCGAGACCGCCATAAGCACAGAGACCCCCAGCACCGTCCCCATCTCCGTCATCCCTTTTGAGCCATCAGGCGCAGAGATCTCTGTCACCCCTATTCCGGGACCATCAGGAGCAGAGATCTCCGTCACCACTATGAGCACTAGCAGTACGGGCAGCACTGGCGGCACCGGGACGGGGTATGCTCCATTCCCAACACCCTCCCAGACCTTCATGACCGTCTCCCCGGCGATGCGTGTGCAGGATGTGTTCGACGGTCGACTTCTCGCCGGCGCTGTTGGTTTAGTCCTTGCTATGGTACTCTAATTTCCAATGATCGGGTGGGGCGACAGTGTAGGTTGAGGCTTCGGAGATCATGACTGGGCGTCTAATGTCTATTGTCATCTGTCGATTCTTTAATGACGCTTGATATGGGACACGTGGAATGAATTGGAACGGCTACCGAACACGTTATCTTCTGGATATTGTATTTCTACCTAGTATTAATTCCATCTCTTCGGGTATAGGTAATGACCGGGTTAATATCTAGCGAACCAAAAGTGGCTTCGTAGAAATAGACTATCGTTAAGCTAGGACAGAGTCATATTGTGTTGTGCACTTCAACTTCCATCGTGACCCCTCCACTTCACAACCCATAGCCACTGGCGGTGCATTTCGTTTTGTCGAGACCCGAGCACATCACATCAAGCAAGACAGAGCTCTCGGATATCCGGCATATGCTTGCTTCTCATTCTCTAGGTGATGATGCTGCTGCTGCTGATGACGACGACTTCTCCTCTCATCACTTTATCCATCCCCTCTCTTACTAATTATGTACCTACCCCTCTCACCTTTCTTTTTCCCCAAATTCCACGAAGCTACCGAATCCATCGCGCAGTCTGTGCCACGCAATACTTGTGCCAAAAAAACCAGAAATAGCTTCTGAAGCTATACTATAATAGCGCGCAATCCTTCCCGAGCGTCGTCGTTATATGTCATGGACTTGGCGGTCAAGCGGCTCAATGCCAGTGCGTGCGGAGAACTCGGTACTGACACCCCACACTCGCTTGCAGACGTATTACAAGCTAACACGGGACTCTCCGCATTATCCACCTAGAGTACAGAGCTCGCTTGTGCCGAGGGGTTTTATCTCGGCCCAAGGGATCGAATTTGGAAAGGAGTCATAACTAGATCGAGAAAAGTTTCGACGTTCTTCTAGTGTAGCAATGACAGCATGTTTGGCAGCATGGAGGGGCCAGCGGGTGGATCCGCCTTGAAGCATCCCATCCCATCCGTGGAGGCGGGTCGGGTTCTACTGTAAGTGAAGATACGCGACCAGGCGATAATTAATACTGACGACAAACACAGGCAACCAGAGCAAGCATCGGAAAGGCGCATAGGCTCAGAATCAACTGGTATCTCCGAGATGAAAAAAAAACAAGTGTCTCGGCCGAGCGCATCAAGCATACGTTTAGAAACCACCTTCGGAGCAGAGTATGGTGATAGATCAGTGCCATTTTCGACGGACACTGAACCCAAAGCTAGAACACAGACTTCTTGCTGCTCTTTCTTTCACGTAAATTGTCTGCGCATAAATTGTGTTCGATATTCTAAAATTACGTGAAACCAGGCGTACTACCTCATCCATTTACAGGCATATTGACGATACGATCTGATGTCTCGGAACAACGAGACACAACACAGACACTTAGCATAGGTGATAGGTGTCGTGCCACATTTGCACAGACATTCGCAACTTCCATTGGAAAACACTAAGTATGGAGTAATTATGCAGTACATGGTGAACAAGTATGCGCGAAACATTAATTACCGACGAAAAGTTACACCCATATCCGCTCAAGCGCAGTGTTTAATTATCTGGCGGGACGTGAGCAAGGGGCAATTACGTGCACAAGATATCTTCTTCGCGTCACCACTAAGCAGTGCTGAGCGCAATGAATACCTGAGGCGAAGATGAAAAGGGAATATGCAAAATGAAAATGAGATAACAAAAAATACCAAGTTTGCTGCGATACACGAGGTACTAACAACAAAGGGCGGAAGGCAGCTCGCAGTCGCGATATGCAATGAGGGCCTCCACCCTGCCGCTCTGAGGGAAGAAATTACCTATTTAGCTCTCTTCTCTCCCTCGAAGATTAAGTGACAAAGAAAAGAGCTAAGAAAAAGAATAAACTGAGCGAGGCTTTTCAAAGTCGATATACAAATTCGTGCGCATTAGCAACTGGGATAATCGCCATCCTTGCGACTTGGGATAAGGTGGAATTGCATTGAGAATATAAGTAAAACTATGATGTTACTCGAGCACAGCCCTGGTAGCTCAATTGGTTAGAGCGTCGGACTTTTATTAGCTGCGGGAGTGAAAGTGATCCGAAGGCTGCGGGTTCGACCCCCGCCTGGGGCGCTGATTTATTCTTTTGCTTACGTATTCAGCTTTTTTACTTTTTTCTAATGCGGATTGTATTACACTGGCCAGGCACAGTGACTGTGTTACAATGATCAGCACGTGATATTGGAGAGTAAATGTTCCCATTTTAAACTACCTAGGTGGTATCTAATTCATTTCCGTCAATCCATGGTCGTTCGTTGTCGTCGTTATCATGATTCTTCATTGGTTAATCAATAACCCCGCGCAGCGTTGTTGCAGTATATACGATATGGCTGTGAGCCAAGCAGGATATCAATCAAATAATCCAACAAGCCTGTTAAGACACGGCTGCCGAAGAGGAGCTCGCATTCTTGGCTGGTGAAGATGCCTAACGGGAACTGGTCGGCAATAGCCTGGTAGCCCGCCGGGTTCGGGTGCAGATGGTCACCACTGTCATACTGGGTAGCCAATGTGGTTGGGCTAGACGGGTTCGCCAGGATCTTGGAGAAATCGATCGCAGCTGTATAGCTGCCGTCACCGCCGCCGAGAATCCACTTGTTCACCGTTTGCCGCGCCGAGTCACGTGTAGGGTTGCTGTATGCCTGCCCGTTGCCGCCGAAAGGCGTAATCGTCGCGCCGAACATGGTGATGCCCTGTGCTTTGGCCTCCGTCGAGATGGTCTTGAAAGCTGACTGTAGCCCACTGCTGATTCGCGATTGCGTGCCCTGATCTGTCGCTGCACTGCCGATGTCGTTCACACCTTCAAAGATCAAGCCGTACTTAACACCTGCAGTCCCTAGGAGATCACGCTTGTAGCGCTGGAGTAGTGGCGGGCCCAGACCACCAGATAGTACTGAGTTGCCTCCTGCTGCCTGGTTGACGACTGCAAGGTTTGTGATACCCTCCTTTTGCATCCTGGCAAGAAGCAAGTCTGGCCATCTGTTGCTTAAGTTAGCATTCGCAGAATTGTGATGGGATAGAGCAGAATGTCTAACCGGTTGTTCGCATTATCGGTGCTACCTCGGCCATCCGTGATACTATCACCGATGATCACCAAGGCTGCCGTCGACTTCGGAGCCCAAGCCTCGACCGCATTCAGGAAATACCAATGAGCTGTGTTCGCCCCTGTGATAGTTGAGGCATTGACATGGTTCCCCTGCTGCATCCACGAAGTTGTACGGCTGCCAGGATGACCTGTGATGCTAGTTCCGGATTGGCCAGCTTGAGAATAGAGGGTGACTGTGATCATGGACTGTGGTTCCACCTTGACATCGATGGGATCGGTGTAGACCGTCTGACCCTGAGGTATAGTCACTGAGCTTGACCCGTTGAAAGTAAGTCCCCTGAGTGTTGTGGTGTCGATACCGGCGGCACCAGCCGCACCACCAGTGGGCAGAGCTAGTGAAGCAGCAGTAATGGGCAAGGCACTGCCACCGAACGTGTTTGAGATTAAGAAACGAATTCTCTCAGCCCCGATCGACATGTGAAGCGTCTGCCGAAGTGTGGCATCTTTAAACACCCCGGCCCCGGTCTGGATAGAGTTGTTAGTAGCCGAGGCTATCGATACAACTTAGATGGAGCTGTTGTACTTACAAAGGGCGCCGGAGGCAAGTTGCTCTGCTCAACGAGCTGTGGCATGGATGTCCACGTGGCAACCCAATGGGAATCCTCGACCTGTTTCCGCTCTAATGTCTGGGCATTCAGGGGCAAGCCAACCACACATGATGTCCACAGCAGACAAGCTGCTGCGGAGAGCATCTTGAGTCTCATGTTCCCTAGCATCTCCACAAGAGGCAACTAATGTCACGCCAAGTAAATTAGAGGGTGTGAACGTGAGGGACGCGGTGACGACTATTGGAAGAACGGCGCCGATGGTACGGATTGAAATATTTATGCCATCGTCAAAGAATGACGTTGCGGGGATCTACCCCGGATTCCGGACAAGCTGCCTCCGCATTCTTCAAGAACGTTCTGGGGCATTTAGCCGCCAATCCTACGGGACCCCAACCGACTTGCTGGAGTCAACAGGTCTAGAATATAACTCAATCAACAAGAGAGGGACGGATAACTATAGCCCTTAGTGGCTTTGAGGGCTAAAAGAGAGGAAGTTCGCTTGATAGCATGCTCTTCTATCCGGAAAGTTGGCCAACGGTCTATAACACATAGCGATTGGCTCAACGTCATGTGCCTATAACAATTGCTGGTGTCACAAATTTGACTACTTCCGTTTCCCCGAAGATCGTGCAAAGCCAAGAAGCCGGACGGGACGGAGGCAGCAACACGCAGTGCCGGCAGCACGGGCCAGGCACAAACCTCTCCAAGACGGATGGGTGCATGGTGATGAGGTGACACCAATCTTGCATCTTCGCTTGCAGCACCAGCCATGCGGGGACCTGCTTCAATACCGGTTCCGGATCGCACATAAGGCCGTAGGATCTCTCTCTGGGTCAGCCACAGAAGTCAGCCATACACACACTGAAGAAAACGCCGTCGGGCGACGTGCCGCGAGCAGACGATGCCATTGGCTCGAGAGACAGAGCGGCGGTGAGGTGGCAGAGCAATATCACGCTGCTGTAGGCCGAAGAGAAAATGTACATCTCATTACTGGACATTGTTTGTTCCTACGCTAGCCCGATTGACATAGGGCGCCTGTGAAGGAATATGTCATATCTACATGATGTAGATAGGTTGTATGAGATGAAGTAAGGAGTAGTAGGTAAGGTAAGGGATGCAACGGACTTCGTCCCTGCTACCCTACCACGGCCCAGACTACAGAAGGGCGTGGAACCTGGCATGCGTGTCAATTACATCTGAGCTAACAGTCATTGGTCAATTAGACGGATTCTCCTCAATCGATAACGAATAGCCCCGCCTATTGTATGTATGCCCCGCGCCAAAAATGTCCCTGTTAAGCTGCAGCTCCGTCACCGGGTTTGGTGGCGGGCTGGCAGCACTTAAAACCAATACTGATCAATATTCCGATCCTGATGGGAATTCGGTTGGGTACAGTTTTAGGGCAGAAGCACATAGATACCCAATTGGAAAACCAAATAGATACCTACTGCTCGGACGCCTTGCCAACTTCAAGTAAACTCCGAGCCTCTCGACAAATATCTCGGACTTGTAAAGGAAGTGTTTGCCAGGCCCTGCCTTGTAGAAAGAGCTCACCTAGCTCCTGTTACGTTGTGGGCTCAAGTAGGTACTCATTCTGGACCTTGCCCCTCCACGAGGTATCCCTACACCACGCATTGGCCCGTCCAGGACCAGGTTTGAGCTAGCGGACGTTCCAAGGTACTTCACATTTGCGAATGACTTTTCTTTTGCTCGGATTCATTCGACTGACTCATTCCTCCGACATCACAGAGCAACTCGCAATACAATCTTGTTTGTCTTCCCGCCGTCACTTATCAGAATCTCACCTCATCTCCGCGCTTACATTTATTACAAACCCTGTCAACAAACCCTCTTCGTCTGTTTCCAGTTCTATTCTCTCTTGCCACCCTTTCGCGTCGGACGTAGCAGGAAAGATACCCCGTCCCGATCTAATTATACTTCCATTGAAGCAAACAGCGCTGTACCAGTCTGTTGTCAGCTCGAGCGCTTCAGCCCTGAACTCAGACCTATCATTTCCGATACTGTACCATTCCATTGGGCCCTAGTTACCTGCGTCAAAATGCCGGGAGTCGACATAGAGCCGCTCAGGGCTGATGATATGAGAGGTACGTAGTTTGCAACAAGTTTTTTTGATTGCCGTTTATTCCCCCTTCGGGCATTTGTGCAACCCCTTGTCTTACTACGCAGCAACGCCTCTGGAAGATGAACCTTTTATATGGCCATGTGAACGCTGTATTTCGACCAAGAGTCGTTTCGGGCAACTTGGCTACCAGTCGTTCTGCATTCCGTCGCAAAATTGGTGTCTTCTCAAGGAAACTCGCCTAAGTACTCGCCATGCTGATATATAGCGATTCGCTAGTCCTGGGCCAGGATCCTCTGATCCAACCCGCTCTTCTCATCTCAGATATTCCCATGACAGATGCCTCGCTCCACACCGTCGTCAAAGGCCGTCGCGAGGCCGTTTCCATCATTATGGGCCGTAGTGACCGGCTCCTGGTGATCGTCGGCCCTTGCTCTATTCACGACCCTGCCACAGCCCAGGAATACTGCCAAAAGCTAAAGGCCCTCTCCGATAAGCTGTCTGGCGACCTGTGTATCATTATGCGCGCCTACCTGGAGAAGCCCCGTACTACCGTCGGATGGAAAGGCCTGATCAACGACCCCGATATCGACAACAGCTTCAAAATCAACAAGGGTCTCCGGCTATCGCGCCAGATGTTCAGTGATCTGACGAATTCCGGCATGCCCATCGCAAGTGAGATGCTGGACACTATCTCACCCCAGTTCCTTGCCGACTTCATCTCTGTTGGCGCTATCGGTGCCCGGACTACCGAGTCCCAGCTACACCGAGAGCTCGCGTCGGGCCTATCGTTCCCCATCGGATTCAAGAACGGTACGGATGGCAACCTAGGAGTCGCCATCGACGCCATTGGAGCGGCCGCCTCGAGGCATCATTTCATGGGCGTGACCAAGCAAGGACTGGCTGCTATCACCCGAACCGCGGGCAACGAGCACGGCTTCGTAATTCTGAGAGGTGGCTCGAAAGGTCCCAACTACGACAAGGAGAACATCAAATTAGCAAAGGAGACTCTTATCAAGAAAGGGCAGAAGATGGCTATTATGGTTGATTGCTCGCACGGTAAGCTGGGCCAGTCTCTTTCATGATGCACTCGAGAAAAGGAATGAAGAAGGAATTCAGCGACAGCGCGCTAATATGGAGATTTAGGCAACTCAAATAAGGACCACCGAAACCAACCCAAGGTGGCTAAAGTAATCGGCGACCAGCTAAGGGAAGGCGAGAAGGCCATCATCGGCGTCATGATCGAATCCAACATCAACGAAGGCAACCAAAAAGTTCCCGCCGAAGGACCCGCGGGTCTTCAGAAGGGCGTCAGCATCACGGACGCCTGTATCGATTGGGA